TGTGTGTGTGTGTGTGTGTGTGTGTGCGCGCGCGCGGGCACGAGTCCTCCTCCACGGTGATATTTCGGGACGGATTCTGGGGCGGGAGACCCAGGGGTGCGGAGGGGCCTAGGCCACGTGTCCCGGGAGAGGGTCGGGGGGGGGGCTCTTCTCCAGAAGCTCAAACATGGGGAACAGTCCCCACCTACCTGGCCATGCGCCTTGGACGCCCCCCCCCCCAAAGGTTGGAGAGAATGGAAGGATGACAGGCTGCCCCCTGCGGAGCTGGGCCTCCCAGCAGAGTCGGGGGTCTGGCCCCATCCCCGCTGGGGGAGCCCAAGGCCAGCAGTGGCGTCGGCAGCAGGTGGGACTAAGGTTAGACTCCAGGAGGCACTGCCCAGGAGGTACCTGCGGGGCAGACCTGTGTGTCTTCTGCTTCCGCTCCTCCCCTGGCGGCCCCTCCTAATTCACTCCGGACCCCCCTCCCCCCGTCCTGCCTCTCTCCAGAGCCCCTCTCCTCCCTCTGCTCCCGGAGATCCTAATTCTTTGTCCCCTCCGCTCCCATCCCTAACCTAAAGGGTAACTGAAGCTCCGCCTCCGCCCGTGACATCACCGTTTCCAATAGCAACTGAGGCTTCTGCATTCCCAACAGCAAAAGCCCCCAGTGGGACAAAGCGGGCCGTCCCTACTCCTCAATGACGCTCTGAGCGGGGGAGAGGGGAGGTCCACGCCTGGTCCGCGGGCACCCCCTCCCCTCCCACCCCCTGCAGTTCTCACCCCCAGGCTGAGCCCCGAGCCAAGCGCTGGCGGGCGGCAGGCAGGGGCTGCAGCTTGGTGGCTCCCTCTCCGGCCCCTTCTCCTCAGTGAGGGAACCGGGGCCTGGGGGCGGATGGGCCCACATCTTGCTGCAGCCCCACAGCCTCTGTCTGGGATCGAGGGTCAGATTGGGGAGACCCGCAGCCCCCCAGCCCTGAGGATGCTTACTGTTCCCGGGGCTCACAGGCCGGCACCTGGGGTGCGCTCCAGGGCCCAGAGCTGGCCCCCCCTCCAAAGGCTCTGTGGCCCCGGCAG